GTCACAGCCCTGAAAACCCCACGGAGCACAGTTCTACTCTGCAAACATGGAGTCGCCATGAGTCGGAACCAACTTGAAGGCAACTGATTTGGTTTTGGAACTATGTTATATGCTGGATGCTGGGGATAAAAGGATGAAGTAGATAGACATGGAGCTCTGTGCTCCTGGGGGAGACAGACCATTAAAGCAAGTGATGACAACAGAGTAGGAGAGCTCTGAAGAGGAAGGACAGCAGGCTGAGGGAGCCCAGAGGAGGGTCCCCTCACTTAGTAGGGGCTAGGGAGTTTGGGGAAGGCTTCCCAGAGGAAGTGACCATTAAGCTGGGACTGAACGATGAATTCCCTAAACGGGGGAGAAGGGGGATGAGTGTGTGCCAGGCAGAAGGAAGGGTACATGCAAAGGCCCAAGGTGGGGGAGGGCCTGGCATGTTCACGGGACTGGAAGAAGTTTGGTGCAGTGGGACATGGTGTGCGAGCTGGCAGAGGATCAAGGGGGAGCAGATCTAGTGGGCTTTTCCACTTAAAAGTTCTGGGCCCCTTGGCTGTGCTGCTGACATGATGCTAGTGGCGGAGCTCAACTTCCCTCAGTACCCCCAGCGCTCCCCTCTTGCCCTCAGAGATACCCAAAAATAGGCCTCCCCTAGAGCTTAGTGAGCTGCCTGCTGGCTTAGATGGAGGAAGCAGGAAGCCACTGGGAAATGCCCCTGCCCCACCCGTGTGCCAGGTGTGGCCGAGGTGGTGGGGGTGGCCTAAGCAGGAGCTGCTTCTAGACTGGGCCGCCCAGTGAGAAGGTCTCTAGGGGTTGAACATTATCCGCCAAGCACTGTCGGTGCCAGCTGCGCCTGCGGCATTCACGTGCCTGCCTCCTGCCCGTAGCCCGGCTTGGTTCTCAAGTTCTCTGGCTCCTGGGGTGGCCTGCTGCCATAGAGCACTGGTGTGTCTGTCTGGCTTCAGGGCAACAGACCTCAAGGCATGCCGTCCTGGTCTGGTCTGCCCAAGCCCTCCAGATTTCATGAATGAAGTCCCTACCACAGTGCAGGCCCATGGGGGCACGGAGAGAATGTTCCACAAATTTTTGTTGAAATGGGACAACATTAACAACAATGACCACTTCCTGAACCTGCTAGGTGAGGTCTTCCTTTGCTCTTGACTCCCCCAAGGTTTACAAGAGAGGCCCTTATTCTGGCTGGCAAGACTCTACATGATCTGATACCCCACTCTGCAACCTCATTTCCTACCACGCTCTCCCCACTTCCTATTTGCTGGCCACTTCCATCTCACCAAACCCCTTCCCACTTCGGTACATTTGCACTTGCTGTGTCCCCTGCCTGGGACACTGGCCCCAGATATTCGATGGCTCACTCCTTCACTTCCTCTGGCTTCTGCTCAAATGTCACCTTTGCAGGGCCTATCCTGATCATGTCCCATGTCCACAATCTATTATAGCTCTTTGTCATTCTCTACCCCTTAGCCTGTTTCATTGTTTTTCATAGCACCTCACCACCTGACATGTTCAAATATTTACATGTTTATCTGTCTATAAGCAGCCCTGGTGGTACAAACAATTAAGCACTCGGTTGCTAACTGAAAGGCTGGCAGTTTGAACCCACCCAGTGGCTCCGCAGGAGAAAGACTTGGCGATCTGTTTCCGTAAAGATTACAGTCAAGAATACCCTGTGCGGCAGTTCTACTCTGTCACATGGGGTCACTATGAGTCAAAATTGACTCAACGGCACCCAACAACAACATCTGTCTATTATCTATCTCCCCCACTAGTACACAAGCTCCACAAAGGCAGTGACTCTGTCCATTTTGCTCACAGCTGTATGCCTACCATCTAAGAGCACCTGGCACATAGTAGACTCTCAGCAGTATCTGTTAATGAATGAATGAGGTTTACAAACGAGGAAACTGAGGCTCTGATAGGTGACTTGCCCACAGTTGGCGGTTGGAAGAGCCAGGACTTGAACCCAAGATCCCCAGTTCCAAACCAGAACTCTGTACTACCCCATGTCTACCCCCATGCCGCCGGCCATCTCTTTGGCCCCTGACTCCTGTGGCTTTCTTGCCAGAAGGTCCATCTCTAGAGGGACAAGAAGCTGCCAATGGTCACTGAGGAGAGGACCTGTCCCGCTGCCCAGAACCAGCATCCCAGGTGGCGGGCGGGGGCTCAGTGACATGCAGGGGCTGAAGCTCCAGCTCCAGGGCCTTGTGCAAGGCAGCCAGGCCTCGGTGACCCGCTCAGCGCCTGCTCCCGTGGGCATCGGCAACAGGAAAAAACAGGCTGGAATGGCAGCCCAACAGCTGTGGCCAAGGCAGCCAACTCCCCTCAACTCCATCGCCCCCTAGGACTTTCCTCATCTGCTTCCCGGAAGGGGAGGAGGGGGTAGGCAGGGCCGAGCCCATGGAAGAAGACAGGCCTGTGGGCAACACAGCTGGAAATGAGAGGAAGGCCCCCTTCCTTTTGAAGTGACACCATCCTCTTTCCTCATGGCTAATATCCACTCTGGACATATTGATTCTGGGGACAGGAATAGGTATGTGGGGGGAGAGTCCTGCAGACAAACACATCTGGAAAAAGCTCGTTAAACAAAGCCAAGCTGGTTCTCTAAGCCTGAAATGACTTGAACACCATCATGGGGGAGGAGGGACACAATTATTTAGCATTTCTCAAACTTGCTTAACTTGGAGCCCTTTCTTTAATGCAGAGCTCACAGGACAGAATACATTTTGGGAACACTCATCCGAAATGTACTGCCTTTCCCTCAACTAGCTGCCAAAGGCTGTTGTTAGGTGTCTTCGAGTCGATTTTCTACTCGTAGCAACCCCATGTGACAGAACTGCTCCATAGGGTTTTCTAGGCTTTAATCTTTATGGGGGCAGGCTGCCAGGTGCTTAACTGTTGCGCCACCAGGGCTCCTAGGCTGCCAACTCGTTCTCCCTAAATAGGCTTCAGATATAAGATGTGACCACCTCCCCCAGGGGTCCTGAAGGGTGGGCTCCTGAAGACAGAAGAGCCACGAGGCCTACTGCAGTGAAGTGCTGACGGAGGAAAATCAGGCCTGGTGACAGGCTAGTTGGCGGCGGGAGGGGTATGTTCTCTCCTCAGAGAGGCCACCTCTGCTCTGAGACCCTGTTATTTGAAAAACCCCTCCAGGACCCACCTCTTTCTTCCCTGGCCACCAGTCTGCCCCTCTCAGGTGGGGGCAGAGAGGGTGGTTCAGTCCCTGGTAACTCCCAGTCCCCTAGGACCATCCAGAAGTCTAAGGGTGCTGCCTCCAGAAATGGCGGGAGCTGACTGTTCTAAGGGAGAGTTCAGCTGCTGAGTGCCGAGAATAGGGGCTTGACAGGAGGCGGTGAGAGCACAGGAGCTGGTGCTTGTCCAGATAGCAGCTTGGGTCACGGACTTCCAGCTAGCTCTAGTCCCTTGGGCAAATCCCTCCCCCTCCCTGAGCCTCAGGCCCCGCTCTCTGAAATGATGAAATAGGCCTAGATAAGTGGTTTCCATCTGTCCTCAGCTGCCTCAGGGGTCACTTTGGGGAGTGTGTAAAGCAGAAAGGGAGATAGGGAGAGTTTGGGGGACAGGTAGAGTTCAGGGAACCTCCCCCAAATACTAGCTTCAACCAAAACAAAATCCATCTTTTTCCATTTTATATCCTGACCTACCTAATATGTCTGGTTCAGCTACTTACTAGCTGTGAGGCCATGGGCAAGTCATTTCACTTCTCTATGCCTCAGTTTCCTCTAATAAATGGGCACGATAATTAATAGTAATCATATCCACCATGGAGCCCTGGTAGCGCAGTAGTTAAGAGTTTGGCTGCTAATCAAAAGGTCGGCAATTCGAATCCACCAGCCACTCCTTGGAGACCCTATGGGGCAGTTCTACTCTGTCCTACAGGGTTGCTATGAGCTGGAATCAACTCAGTGGCAATGGGTTTGGGTTTTTGGTTTATGTTCACCTTGTAGGATTGTTGTGTTAAATGAAAACGTAAAATGCAACAAGTAGTACCCAGCACATGGTAAATGTTCTATAAGTGTTTGCTGTGATTATTGCTGTAATATTTGGATTGAAGTAAAGGTTTCACTGCTTAATAATAAGCTTAAAAGCTATCAATTTAGATGATCCCAAAAGTTCCCTCTGGCTTTCGCAGTTCAGAACATCAAAACCCTGGAATGTTAGGATTCTAAAATTCTAGGCTGTGACTCCCACCAGCAAGGGGGGTGGGGCTAGAGGAAGGAATTACAGGCCAGAACCAAGCCATAGGAGCCAGAGTGCAGGGAACTGCCCGATAAAGGGTTATTATTATCATCACCATCATTTATTTATTTATTCCTCCCACTGCCACCCTGTTCCAAAAAAATTCAAGGGGCTTACAAAGATGCACACACCACAGTAAGAGAAAATAAACTCAATACACATAAGAAAAACTAGGGTAGGCAGACAGACAGAGCCTGGAGTAAGGGACTACTCATTTGGTGCTGAGCTTTCCGTGGTCAATGGGAAGAAGGAAACTTGACCAGTCCCTGGATTCCGTGTCCCATGAGGTAATAACAAACCTGTTGCTTAGAAGATGCACAACTATTCCTGATACTAAGAGCAGGGGATGTCCCAAGGGACAAGGTCTTTCTGGAGCGCTTTTCTGCCCTTGTGAGTGAGGTTGCTGTCCCCTTGGTGTCCACTGGACATGACCCTCTGAGGCCGAAGCCATGGGCAGAGGCTAAAGTGATCGAAGAACTAGGCTGGCTGGAATGGCAGGTCCAGAAGCTCCCTCAACATCCTCACCTCAGCATCCGTGGTCTGGGCAGGACTACCCATCCCTCCCCAAGTCTGAACACAGCCAATGCCCAAAATAGACACAGCAGGAGAGGATGCCAGGAGGCCCCGGGCAGGGGCCCTGGAGAGGTGGAGGCCTGGGTGGGCCAATGCACACACAATTCTGGTGCATAAAGCGGCAACTTCACTTGGGCACACGACTCTCCCAGAAGTCCCCTGCCCACCAGGCTCCCCGGCAGCCGCAGGCTGCTCACGCTGCTCACGCTGCTCACGCACGACCCAGGCTGCTGCTCTGCCCTGCCTACAAGGCGGGCCTTCCTGCAGGAGCCAGACGGAAAAGTCTTCGTAGAAAACACTGCCCGCACCATATAGGGAAGTGTCCAGACCTCCTCCCTGCTTCCCACCTCCACAGGCAGCCTCCCTGAGGATCTTCCACTCCAAGCTGGCTCCTTTCGGGTCCCCCAGCTGTAGGCAAAGACAATGGGGGCTATTCTGGGCTGCATGGGTATATTTAAAGCTCTGGCTGGGCTCATCCCTGGGGAGCAAGAGGCCTTGGCCTTGGTAACACCTTCCTGAAATTGTTGCTGCCCAGACAGGCGGCAACTGCAGCCCATATTTTCCCAACCTCACCAGCTAATTCTTGAGATCCTGAGGGATTTCTCATGAGTACCCACTCCTCCAGGAAGTCTGGGTGATTCAGCATGAATGCCTCGTCCTCCATGGAGCCCTGGTGGCGCAGTGGTTGAAGCACTGGGCTGCTAACTGAAAGGTCAGTGCTTTGAACTGACCAGTTGCTCCAGGGGAGAAAGATGCAGCAATTTGCTTTTGTAAAGATTACAGCCTTGGAAACCCCGTGGGGTGGTTCTACTCTGTCCTATAGGGTTGCTATGAGTCGGAATTGACTTGACAGTAACTGGTGACCGGTTTGGTGTTTTTTACAGCCCTAATCCTCCAGGAAGCCTTCAGGCCATGGGGCCGCCTCTTACATTAAGCAGCCTGACACACTTACTTAAGACATCAAAAAAAAAAAACCAAAAAACCTAACCCATTGCCATGGACGACTCCGACTCACGGTGACCCCATGTGTTACAAAGAAGAACCGTTCCATGGTGGTTTTCTTGGCTGGAATCTGTGATGCCACTGGGTGGGTGAGAAATGCCAAACTTTAGGTTAGTAAGGGAGCACAAACCATTTGACGCTCTAAGGCCGAAGCCAGGGGCAGAGGCTAAAGCGATCAAAGATCCAGGCGGGCTGGAATGGCGGGTCCAGAGAGCACCCTCACCATCCTCACCCCAGCATTCACGGTCTGCGCAGGATTACCCATCCCTCCCCAAGTCTGAACACAGCCAGTACCCAAAATAGCCATAGCAGGAGAGAATGCCAAGAGGCCCCAGGCGGGGCCCTAGAAAGGGACATCACTCAGACACAATCGCTGGGAATCAGAAGAGCTGAGTCCTGGCCCTGCTCTGCTACTTGTCTTCTGCAGGCCCCTCTTCTCATCTGCAAAACCAGTGTGGGTAAAGTGCTTCCGAGGCTGCAGCGGGCTCATAAATGGGGCACTTCGTGATAAAGATGAAGTTGGGTCTCCCCAGCCACCCTGTAGGGTACAATGTAAGCTGGACTGGAATTTTGTCACTGCTTTTTTCCCAGAACCTGGCACACAGTAGGTGCTAGATGAATATTTGTTGACTGATACGAATATTTGTGGAGTGTGCCTGTAACCCCCATAGAACCACCCACAGGGCTGGGTGCACAGGTGGCTAATACTCTTTAATGATAATATTGCCAGCTCTCATTTTTGAGCACTTTACACGCCAGGCCTTATGCTAAGTACTTTACATTGATTATCTCATTTAATTTGCTCAACAATCCCAAGAGGTGGGTACCATTATTATCCTATTTTACAAGTGAGAAGATGCAAGTTCCAAGTGGTTAAGGAGCTTGCCTGAGATCCTAAAGCTAGTAAGTGGCCAAGCTGGGACTCCAGGAACCCCCATACCTATATAATCCTGCATGAACACATCTAGAAGAACGGCAGTGGAAAGAACACTGAGCTGGGAGCCAGAAGCCTGAATTCAGCCCCAAGAAGCTGTGTAACTTTCAGCAAGTCACTTGGCCTCTCTGAATCTGTTTTTCTCTTCCTTTGTGGAAAACTGCTTCCTATTTCTCAGGGTTGTTAGTAGGATCAAAGGAACTAAGAGATGTGATCATGTTCCCATATTAGCCCCAATCCCTCCCCACGGGCAGAGGCCATGAAGGTTGAAGGGAAGAGGTGCTAGGGAGAAAGGGGGCCCAGCGCTGGCTCTGGAATGAAGCTCAGCAGCTGCTGACAAGGGGAGGCGAGTGAGAGTTTTGGGCCTGGTCCAAGCAGGGGGAGAAAGGGGTGGGCTGGGAAGTCACCTCTGGCCCTCTTCTCTCGCCCTTCCCTGCTGACAGCTGCTAGGGCCACAGGGCCTCAGGCCCCAAAGCAGGCAGGGTACGGGGGAAGGGACAGGCCGTCTGGGGTCATCTCAGACCTCATGCTGCCAACTGCTCAAGTCCCAGGGTGCCCAGTTCCTGCTGGGCACACTGGCCAGGATGCAGGCCTTGCTGCCCCACCCCATAGCCCTTTACCAGTTCCTGGGGAAGTCTGGGTTGGGGTGAAGGGGTAAAGGAGCCACAGAGTTGGCAAAGCTCTGTGGGCTGAAAAGAGCAAGCTGACTGACTATGGCTTGCCTGGAGCCTGGGCTGCCCCAGAGACCCCGGAGGGAGGCGGTGGGCAGGGCTGGGTGGGATGGTGTCCTAGGAGAGGTCTGTGGCTTTCCTGGAGAATAGCCCCAGTTGCAGGCCCTTCAGGGATCCTTCCTAGGAAGCTGTGAACTCAGCCTCACCTGGCCCTGCCCCAGGCCCCTCTTAGCCCCCTCAGATCCTGGTAGGCCCAGCTCCAGGCCTAGCTCTGTGCCAAGCCTTTTCAGCCAGCTCCAGCCCACAGGAGCGGCCCTCTATCTCCTCTGAACTCTTGCACGCCCATAATTACCACTGACCATATTTTCCAAAGCAAAAATCAAGAAACAGTTCAACAAAGGATTTTTGGGCCACTTCCAGATGCCAGAGGCAGCCTGGGAGATGTAGCTTAGCTGCAGTGGTATTCAGATTTCTGGGGCATGGCAATAGTTTGTTGGGAAGATAGACTATTTTATTAATAAATCAAGGCCATCCTAGGAAATATGTGTTGGCCACACACCACCCCCACCATTGGGAGCCGACTGGGCACTAAGCATCACAATCCATTTTCTGTGTGTGTGTGGCAGGATCATGGGTAACAGGACATGGCTTTGGGGCCAGTCAGACCAGGGTTGGAGCCCTAGCCTGGCAACTTCTAGCTGTGTGGCCCTAAGTAAGTCACTTAACCTCTCTGAGCTTGTTTCCTCCTTTGTACAACAGGAATCAAAACTGCCACTTCACAAACCTGCTATGAAGATTCAACAGGACAATCTAAGAATTAAGCCCAGTGTCGGGCACTTACCAAGAAGAAGTGTCACTTCTTCCCTTCCTTCCTCCCACATCTATTCCTTTACACATTCCAAGACAGTGAGCTCTCCAGAACGCCCCCATGACCCACCCCCACACCTGGAGAATAATTCCTGCTCCACCCTCTCAAGACTAGGTAAGGCTTAAGAGAGACCAGCATGTAAAAAGCGCCAATAGATTCCTAGATCCTAGGCTCAACATGAGGCTCGACACCTGGCCCAATGCCCTCACATAACAAGGGGAAACCGAGGTGGCCCACAGCAGAGTTAAGAACTTCAAGGGGGACCAACTACTGTTCAAATCTCATCTCTGACACTTACTGGCCACTGGGCGACTTTACCCTTTGAGCCTTATTTTCCTCACACGCATAACGGGGCTATTACTAGCCCCACATACAGAGATGTCAGAGGATAAATGAGATAACGTACATGGAATGCTTAGAACAATGCCAGGCATACAGTATTTCTCGGTAATGCGGCAGTTCTAAGAAAGTGGTGGTGGCGGCTGGCTCAGAACCCAGGTCTCCTAACACAGGGTCTTTCAACTTCCACAATGTCTCTGCCTTCCCTTCCTTGGGGACAGGGACTCCCCAAGGCCAGGGTAAGTGGTCACACAGATGAGGACTCTGGGAGGGTGACATTAACCTGAGTCTTTGTTGGGGGATGATCAGGGCCTGAGACCCCCGTCTCAGCCTCTGGGGCTTAGAGCTCATCCCTCCTGCCCTAGACAAGTCCCCAAGCCCCAGGTAGACAAAGCCCAGCCAAGGAAATGGCAGGAAGGGGTGGCAAGGGAGGGGTGCGTGTCCTTGGCAGGGAGAAGGCAACCTCCAAGGGACTCGGGTTACCGGAAATGGTAAATCTCCCTGCTGCCTGTCACCTCCAACCAGGAATGTCTGCTGCCTGAGGGAACATCCTGTCCACCTGCCCCAGATAGCCCAGGGATAGCAGGGGATGTGGGCTCAACCTCTGGGGCCTTGGGTTGGGCTCTGGGTCTCTCCAGCCAGAGGATACCTGCCATTTCAGGGCAGTGGGCGTAGCCATAACTGACCAATGATAGGAGGTAGAGAGGGCTAGAGGGGTGGATCCTGAAAAGATTGAAAGCCACCCCTAAATCCGATTGAGTCAATCCTGTCAAACATGGATTCTGAGCCCCAAATCTGAGTGAAGGCTCTGATCCCGTTACCAATGTAGGAGGCAGCACAGTGAGTTCTGGGGTAGGACTGGCCCTGGCTGGGAGCCCGGCTCTGCCACTTCTGGTTGGGTGGCCTTGGGCAAGTCACTACAGCACCTCCCACCCTCCAACTCTGGTATCGAGGTGACAGCGAGCCCCACACATGGGGTCCCTGTGAGATCCATGGAGCCACACTGTGAGTTGCTTAGCACAGGGCCTGGCACGCTGTAAGGGCTATTAGGTATTGGGAAATATCGAGAAGGAGAAGGGAAAAAAACAAATAAGCGTATGTGAGCATATACTATGGAGCTGACGTTTTAGTTGAAGCCGGACAGACCATAAGCTAATACACAAACAAATATACGCCAAAGGATGACAGTGCTAAAAAGAAAAATATAGCAGGGTGAGGAAGATGAGTGAGTGGGGAATTGCTATTTACACAGGGTGGTTAGGGAAGGTGACATTTAGCAGGTACAAAGGAGGTAGGAGTCCCTGGATGGTGCAAACAGTTATGCGCTCGGCTGCTAACCGAAAGGTTGGAGATTCGAGTCCACCCAGAGGCGCCTTGGAAGAAAGACCTGGTGATCTTCTGAAAAGTCAGTCATTGAAAACCCTATGCAGCACAGTTCTACTCGGACCCACATGGGGTCAATTGCTATGAAGGAAGTGAGGGAGTAAGTCACAGGCACTCCAGGCACAGAGAACAATAACTGTAAAGGCCTCTGAGGCAGTATTCTTGGAATATTCAGGCAGCAGCAAAGAGGGGAGTTATCTAACCCTCCCAACTGCCTCAGAGCTAGGTATAATTATCCCCATTCCCCAGATGAGGAACCTGAGGCTCACAGAGGTGTCAAGGCTTGCCTAAGGCCACAACACAGAAGAAGGAAGTAGTAGGGCCAGGATTCCAATCCTCCTCAGCACAGTGTCCAGAGGCTACTCTCCTTAGAGCCCCCATGGGGAGGGGGCAAAGTAGGAGAAAACACATAAGGCGTTTGAGTCAGAGCTCTGATTCCTCCACAGACTGGCTGTGTGATCGTGGAC